GTGTGCGCACGTTTGCGGATTCGAAGTTAACAGCCGAATTCGCAACGATGGAATCGCGCTAATGTGCGCTTCGCTTTATTAGAAGAACTAGGGATCGCAATAGCCATAAAAAATCACTGAATTAAAAACCGCAACTTTCGCCACAATTATAAAGGCCCGTCCACATACAACTTTGGCGTTGCGTTGGCGCTGGCGTCGCTTTGACAGCGGCGCGCGTAACGCCCGTGCTTGCTACAATGAACGCTTAGCACAGAATACTTTGGTCACTAAATTAACATACTAGCGGCTGATAAATCAAAATTTTTACATCAATAATTGCATTAAAAACTATATTTCTTGCCCGCATTTGATTAAAAATTAAAATTAAATCACATAATTTTGATTATTTAGAACAGCTGACGAACGACGCGCGCGAAAAGTTGAGAGTTGGCCATCTTTCTGCGTTGTGTTGGCGTTGGCGTTGCCCAACTTTGGTTATATGGAGACTTTCATATAAATACATGTATTCATAGTCAGCTGTCGAAGCGACGCCAACGCCAACGCAACGCCAAAGTTGTATGTAAACGGGCCTTAACGAGTTGTCCCTTCTCGTTAACTACGTTCTTTGCTGATACTGAAAAATCGCTATTTCGCCCATCACTACTGCAAATAATTCACTGCCAGCTGTTGTGCACGGTTGCCATGTATATTCAATTTAACAGCCCTATTCCCAACGGCTGACTATTGCCGCAAATTTATTTTAAGCACTGTAATGGTAGTTGTCATTGTTATTATTATGAACTACTGAGTACGCGACAACGGCGAAACAATGTGGTTGTTCACGCTTGCCTGATTATCAGGTTATCTGGCTAAATATTGTTGTTATTATTCTTGTTGTTCTTGTTCTTGTTGTTGTTATTCTATAGTATTATTTAATGTTGTACACTGAATAAAAAATATAACCAGATAACAAGGCAAGTGTGAACTACCACAATGTGTATATTGTGTTTCAGGCGCAGTAATTGTAACAATAGTCATACGATGAATTTTGTCAGTGATGTGGGAATCAGAATTTTTTAATGTGAACGCTTTTTATCTGAAAAATATTGCAGCAATTGATTACAAAAATCTCTCATTGAACTCTTCTTCGGTTCTACCTAAAGAATCACGTTAACTAAAAAGCTGTACAAAGCAATACCCAAGCACTGTCAAAACATAATTGACAATTCATAACAAAATCTGTCATATCATACAAAATAAATTCAGCTACTAGTCATACAGTATGACTCATACTGTGTTATCATAACTTTATAGAGCTGATGGCCCTGGCAGCTAATGCTCGTTCGATATTAACGTATTAATTTAGTTAATTCGTTAAAAATAATATCCATACAATACATACATACATATCATGTACATACAGTAGGTAATATATATGTACTATGTAGGTGATGATATTTATCATATTTGTGTTTTTGGCAGACCTTTATCAGCACCAATAGATGTTATTATCACCAAATGTCGAAAGGTTATCAGCGATCTCTTGGTAAGGCATATGCCCTCGGCTAATAATGAATAATTTCTAATTTTTATTTTGTCAGTATATAGAAGATGAGCGACCGCAAGAGACACGGATGTTGTGAATAAAATTAAATTTTTAACTCAAGTGGAACTTTAGGCGAAAATGCAAGTTCATAACATCATCCCTCGTGCCATCTGTACGCTCAGCACGAGAACTCAAATATCCAACGCCTCCAATAAAGCGATCAATCGGCGGCCTACGGCTCAAGCTTCATTTGCTGAAGTGATTCGCCTACGATCACATTTTTCACCTATTTGCAAATTATACGAAGTAAAGTCCGGATTCGGCAGATTTGGGGCAAACTTTTCAACGGTGAGCACTTTTGCTTTTGATATATACTTCAGTTATATAAGTATTTGTGAGTAAAATTACAAAAGTTAAGTGTGTTTTGCTTCAGTTTTGATTTCATACACCGCGTGCAGATTTGTTTATTTTCGAACGCGTCAAGTTTTGTTTGTATGTATGTACATACAAACCCAGTAAGAACCCTATCTGTTAACTAATGCGTTATATACGCCTAGTACTACAAAAAGTTTGTGTGAGAAATTCAAAAACTCCGCATAAAAAAAAAACTAACGCAAAGTCGTTTCAAGTATGAGTAGTTTTCTCTTTCTTTCACATGGAATTCGCTATTATATTATACTATATGAAGTTGTCTCTTTTCAAACAAATATTATCATGCGATTAATAACGTGTTATATAACGTAATGAATGGCATAAGGACCCTGCAAGAACAGTGAACATTTGAGTGGCAAGACTGATAGAGATATCGCTACCTACGATGTCACTGGCTACCTACAAGTTTCTATCAAATTCTAAAGGGCAGTGTGAAAAATCTGATGTAAACATTTGTGTTCCGTTTTCCTCCGACTTGTGCCATTATTTAGTTGTAAATGTGTTAGTAAGGTAAATGAGAATGTGTTAGTTTCCATCACACCCCTGCAAAAAGTGGGACTAGGTTAAATACTAGTACAGGACCACGCTACCTTGTAACCAACACTAGTAACCAAAATGGTCTAAATATATGGAGAAAATATGGTTACATTAATATTGCGATGTCATTGGCTACCACTACATGGTAAGCCGGCGTGTATCAATTTTGATTAAATTAGCGTCCTTAAATTTCGAAATATTGAAGTTTCAAGCATTTCTGAAATTTACTGTTATATGAAAAGCTGCCGTAATTTTAGTCCGATTTCAATAATTTTCAAAGTTTTGCTTCTATGTGCCAAGCACAATAACCACCCCGTGTTTGGTAAAAATTGGTAGAAGGCTTACCGAGATACATATATGTGATCATAAGTGGGCGGTGCCACGCCCATTTTCCAAAATTTGATCATAAACGCATTTTTTGGTAAAGAGTTGTTGCAAGCATCAATTTGGAATAAATAAGCTTTAATATTTACTGATTTATCGAAGATTTCGTATTTCTCCAAATTACCGTTATATGGGATGTGGGCGTGGTTATTGTCCGATTTTTTAAACTTTCGGCCATTACGTATGTTATACCAAGGCCAACACTGTGCCAAGTTTGGAAGAAATTGGTACAGCGGTTACCAAGATATACACATGTAACCATAAGTGGGCGTGGCTACGCCCATTTTCCAAAAAATTATAATGTTCTTATTCTTCGTCTAAAAATTATTGTAAATATAAACTTTGAGTGAATAATCTTCAGTAGTTACGAAAATATCGCAGTTTTCGTATTTCTGAAAATTACCGTTATATGAGAGGTAGGCGTGGTTATTGTCCGATTTTCAATACCATCCGTCCTACGCCAGAAAGAAGTGCACGTACCAAGTTTCGTTAAGATATCTCAATTTTTACTCGAGTTATCGTGTGCACAGACGAACGGACGGACGGACGGACAGACAGTCACCGCTTAATCGATCTCTCTTTTTTTT